AATGTTCTGGACCTGTTTCTAAAATATAACCTTATATGTAACAACGTGTTTAGTTCTTGAATTTAGACACCACAGTGCTATTTTCTTACCGTACTTTGGCTTTATCACTGTAGTAGAAAAGAGCCTAAAATGTCCACACATTTTCTTTTAGAGCTGCAGTAAAATACCTAGTAAGTTTATCAAATTAATCTCCCCAAATCCCATAAGGAAAACACATTACATGGCTATTGGAAAGACAGCGTCATGGTTAAGAACACATCCTCTGGAATTTGGCTGCTTTAGTTTGAACTCCACCCCACCATTTACTAGCTGTGTGACCTTGAGCAAGTTAGTCACACGGTTACTTAATCTCTTTGTGCCTCGGTTTCCTCATCTGAATGAAAGATAATAATACCTACCTCATAGGGCTGCTGTAGGATTAAATGAATTAATATATGTAAAGTACTTAATGTGGTGCCTGACATACGTAAGTGCTATATGTTAATTAGTAAGAAATAAAGATCTGCCTACATTAAAAATCACTGTTACAAATAGGCTGTGATTAAAGGTCACTTGTTTTAGATTTAATTTATTTATTTGGCAGAGAAATAGAGCCAGAGAGCATGGCGGGGGAGGGAGGGGAGGGATGGGAGAGGGAGGAGTGGGCAGGGGGCCCCCTGGGCAGGGCTCAATCCCAGCACCCTGGGACCATGACCTGAGCCGAAGGCAGATGCTTAACCACCTGAGCCACCCAGGTGCCTCTTAAAGGTCATTTTTAGGGCAATTGCTTAGAACTCTAAATCCATATCCCTGGAAAGTCAATGCTGGTTAGATTTGTCCTAATGCCACAGAAACTTACTGAACAATGTGACAATATTACAGCTTCCCATTGTTTCTATGGAATAATGTATCAAAAGTTCCAACTAGAGGGGGAAAAAAACTTATTTTCTGACCACGAACCTGAAAGTCAAAAGTGATCCTTTCTTTTTTCTCCAGACACAAACAGGAACTTCTGAAGGAACACTAGTGATTTTTATGATAGGGATAGGAGTGGGAAGAGTATCAGAGGATTGCAGAGCATAAGCTTTGCATTTCTTGCCAATGACTAAGGATTGATAATCAAAAAGCAGCTATGTGAACTTCTTATCAAAGAGAGGAAAAGATGAGTATACATGAGTATGCATGAATACACCTGCATGCAACACACTCATGGACTATTAACTTGGTATACCTAGTTTTTCATAATGGACAAACTGTCATCTCTGAATACTGAATTTGAAAATCAAAATCATTGTAAGATATCTTATTCCCATTTTCTCAGCTAGACTTAGAAATTTCAGTCAGGGTGACACAGATATTAAAATTAGACTATACCCCATGCTCTTTTCCACTTCTCTAAGAAGTCTCTATAACATAGATGGAAAAACTCATAGGTACCAGAAGAGCAAGAATATTTCCAGTAGTAGCAGAGAAGGAAAAGTAATTACCATTGCTAAAATAACCATCTCACAAGTTCCTTGTTACATCCAGGTACTCCACTACATTTTTAACCTTATATAAATTGAACAACATATTTTAAATATTGCCTAGAATTTGCTGTCCAAACTGAATTAAGCTTACCTAATTCATTTAATACTATATTCTCTGCAACTTCAGTGTATAAACTAGGACTGCTTTCTAAATTGGATGAGTCAAATGATGATGCATAGTATTAATTCAAAGTATAAAATGAAATGAAACTTGAAAATATAAACACCAGAACCAAATTTATTTGGTTTATGAATGAACTTTGATACATGTACTGGGTTCTTTCATTAAGGCAAAAACATACTAATTTGCAAGGTCTGCTTGTCAATCAACAGTCTCTGATTAGCCAAAAACAGCCTTTAAATTATATACAACATATCTGTCAATATATAAGCCTTATTCACTTTTAATAAGCTCTTTGCAGTACAAAACATGTTTCTAAAGGGTAAAAATGGAAACATTTGATCAGCAGACTGTCCAAGTTGATTCCAGTTAGCAATTAATGTAGCTTTAAAAATCCAAGAAATACAATGTAAAAACAAATAAAACTGTATACCTTCAGTTTAAACAACAACAAAAAAAAACAAAAAAACCCCTTACCTTAAAAAGACCTACAAGTCAAAAAACAGCCCAATAATGAAGAACGCAGAATGAAGATAAAGTTACAAAGAAACGTTTTGCCACTGGAAGCAAGATGGCCTGGGGAAACTGCCTTGCCATCGTCACTACTAATATTAAGTCTAATTTTATCTAGCCACAAAGTCTAATTTTGACCTAGCCACAGCTCAAATGCCAAGAGAATAACAGAAAAGCACTGTTTATCCCAATGTTCAAAATCTGCCATATTACCTATAAAGAGGTAAAATGCTTCCTTTAATTTGCCCTATCAAGCTTCTCAACAAATTTGGTATTTGTAAGCCATATCTTAAAGTAACTGATCTCTTACACACACTTGAAAAAATCAAATACCGAACTGAAAATGACTGATATTTTATGTAATTTCCATAGATAAAAATTCCCCAAATACCTATGAAAGGTGGGACAAGCAGGAAAAGCCATGATTCTGTAAGTGCTTATGATTATACCCTACAGAAAAGCAATAAGGAAACTCACAAGCTAGCTGAAATAGCAATGAACAAATATAAATAAGGCTTCTGTAGGCTTCAGCAGGAATACCTCAACTACAATCAATACTAATCAGCTGCTGTTTAAATCGTCAAAGAATTCTAAAAGACTAACCTGTGAAAAGGGTGCATTAAAAGTGCAAAAAATTTGCCATTCTCGCTAAAAATGAACACGTCAATGTATTTTACATACATCCTCAAACTACTACTGGCCTTCCACTTTCACACACTCTAGGTTTTTAGGTTCCCTACTACCCAAATTTAAATCCAGTATCCAAGTTTCCCTGGGTCAGCACTAGAATGAATACTATACTGTATCACCCACCACATCACTGGGAATTAAGCTCCTTAAGAGTTTACATTGAACAAGGTACAGAATCACATTTTGTATAACTTTGTATCCTAAAGAACATTTGATTTAACCTCCTAAACAGAGGCTATAAATATTTACTGACTCAAAATAGTCCTTCAACACTTTGTAGTTCTGTTCTGTGCGGTTGAAAGAAAACTGCATAGCTTTACAAAATCCAAAGGACCTAAATGTTATTGAAACTTCACAGAATACATCATTATTTCGCAGCTTAGAGGTTTTAGCCTTGCCCCTATGACCCGCTGTAATGCTTTTTAATGATACTGGCACAGTAGGGAGGAGAGCAGATCCAGTAAAAAGTTGACATGGGAACTTGTTAAAAGGGAGTATTTTCATATTCATCCTTTACCTTTTTATTTATGTAACATTAATGTTCTAAAGTCAGTTAACTGTATCAGCAAATTAAGAGACAGTTTTGCAGAACATAAATGAAAACTGGTACCAATAAAAAACAAGTAACCAAAGTGAAGAGCTGCCTTAAATTCCGGCAACAAGATAAGGACAGTTCACACCAATGTAATGAAAAATAAGTCTTTTTGTAGTCTACAAACCGTCCATGACTAATTTTTGAGCTAGCTATAAAAGTTTCTAAAAAGTTAAAACAAATTGGTTAAGACATTATCAAAATCACAAACTATCATTAAAGATACACAAAAATATCTGGCAACCAAGGTCTAGAATTGGTTCCAAGGTCTTCAGTTGTTAAAATACTCCATTATGCCTCTAAAACAATTTCACTTAGATGTGACATTCCTAAAACAGCAACACAGGCCTGTAAGTTTCAGTGAGCCAGTGCCGGCAAAACCAAACTATGACAAAGATCTCCTCTCCTTTGGGCGGTAACTACCAAATTACTGTTCTGGGATCGGCTTGCTTCCACTAAGTTTAACATGGTGCCTAAACTGAAAGGAAAGAGGCAGAACAGGTAAAGGAAAAATAAACAGAAAACTAATTTTAAAAAGTTAAGTTCCTATTTCCAGTAAACTGTGTCTTAGAAATCTTTCAGACGATAAACGCGCCGAAGAACAGATGGATCAAGACCCATCCGCATTCTCTTGAGACGTGCGCACTGCGCGGAAAAGGATGAATGAATGGAAGACAGGCGCGTGTGAAATGCAGCAGGTCCGGCCGGCAACCAGACCAGCAGCAGCGATCAGTAGGCCTTGCTCCTCCCCCTTCCCTCCTCCATGACAGCCCAATATCAAGCATGGAGGGGAGAGGACAATGTGATCCCCCTTTCTCACCACCACCACCCTTCATCCTACTCTGAGAGCTCCACCGCGCAACACGAGGTTCTCCTCCCCACCCCAAACCTTTCTCGCTCCCCTGCCGCCAACCCCAGCAACTCTCGGGCGCGCTGGAGTAACATGCGCTTGCCCCTCTCGGCTCCCCTCGGCGAGGTCGAAGCTTCTCCTCGCGTGCCGCGGCACCACTCTCGCCCAACCCACCCTCCGGCAACGCGCGCCCACCGGCTCCCTGGCCCACCGGTCTAAAGAAGACCCGCGCGCGCCTCGCACACGAACCCCCAGGCTGGAGCTCGGGAGGGAAGTAGGGACGGAAAAGCTACCCCGGGGCTCCCTCCTCCAACTCATTCCAGGCCGGCTCGCCGCCCACCCTCCCTGCGGATCCCGGCGCCCGCTCGGAGCCAGTCCTGCGCCCTTCTATCCCGAAGACACAAACCCCACACACCAAGCCCAGGGCCCCGATCACCCTCCACCCTAGCAGACCACCTCGCGGATCTGCAGGAGGCGCCGTGCCGCCCCTCCCCCACCCCCTTCCCCCAGCTCTCGGGCCCCCACCAGAACGTGTGCGCTACACGCCGCCGCGGCCAGCCTCCGGGGCGCCCCCAGTTGCCCGCGGAGAGGTCAGGCCCAAGAAAAGGGGGAGGGGGCAGCAAGGGGTAGCGTGCGCGCCGGGAACGCCGTCCCGCGGAGTCCCCCAGTCCGAAGGGAGACGGAGCGCGGGGACCGGTGGGGGTGGGGGCCAAAGGCAATACTCACCGGTTCCACAGTCGCCATCTTAGATCGATCTGATCGCACAACCGCTCCTGAAGGGGGGGGTGAGAGGAAAAAAAAGAGATTCAAACCGGATTGGCCGGCTACTGTCCACGTGACGGACGTGTCCGTTTGGCCCCGGCGGCGCCTGCGCAAGACTGCGGCTGCGTGGGTAACAAGAGGCTTCTGGGAAGTGGAGTCTCTCTCGCTCACTGTCTCTCTCCCTCTCTCTTTTTTTAAGGGCAAAGAAGTTAAAAAAAAAAAAAGGACGGTCGCGTGGTTGGTGGGTAAGGTGCGCAGTTCTCGGCGGCGGACCCTAGCGTGCCGGACGGTGGTTTTCAGTTCCGTGCTCTTCCGCCTGGTTAGCTGCTGTCGCGTTTACCGCCAGGCATGCCTGCTGCGCCCTTTGTTGCCCTGTCCTCCCATCTTCCCCGGAAAGTTGGGAACTGCAGGCTCAGCATGCACAATGAGGCTTCATTTGCTTAGTTGAGGTCCTAGGACAAGTTGTTTATTTAAATTTTGTTTGACTTCCCACCATTTTCTCTTGCTTTCAGAAAGAGGCGGCGATAGAGAGTCCTTGTTTAAAGCAATCAACCCTCCCCAGTCTCCCGGCTCTGCTAACGCTGGTGGTCACTCATAGCCATCACTGCGAAAGGGGTGGCGGAACCGCCCGCAGTACCCACTTGCCATAGGTTGGGGGAGGGGGAATGCACCCGACAGCTTTTCCTGTCCCAAATCCTGAGATTAAGACCTCAGGGCTAAATCTTGAGTAGAAGTAAAAATTATTTGAAAGTTCTGCCCTCTCGGTTCCCCTACTCAGCTTAACGAGAACAGAAATAGCCTAAGTCCAGGTGCCAGCCAGGGAAGCCACTCCGGGCCCCGCTGACTAAGCCCTGGACTGATCGTCAGAAGTTAGGTCGGTCAACTATGACTCTTGACGTTGACTCATTCTCCTTAGGCGAGTGACTTAATCATTCAGTGCCTCAGCTTTTTCATTTATGAACCACAGATGATAATACACTTACCTCACAAGGGTGTGCTGTGGTAATGATTGTAACCAGCTTTGAAAATGCATCGGACTCTATAAGTGCTTAATAATAAGGCAAGCTTGTGCCTCCCTAAGGATAAGCTGCTTCCCCTGATGTTTTTTTAAACAATGTTTTAATTTTTTTTTCTGTTTACTTTTGCTACATTATCATGTACACCAAGGAATTTAAATTTTAAAGTTTTAAGATGACTTTTTTCTTTATTACTGTAGCTACCTTCAACAGAGGCTTTATGTCAGGAATATATTGTTATATTCACAACAATCACTGGCAGTTAGAAATTTATCCCCACACTAGCATCTTACATTTCCTTTTCCTCTGAGATACTCTGATGTTCTTTCTTAAGACCGTGTTACTCTGCAGAGTTTGGTTGTTAATAAAACAAATGGAGATAAACCTAACAGACCACTACTATAAAGTTCTAATGAGGAAGACATGTCATTACTATTTTCCATACTTCTTAAGAATATTAACACTAGAAACATCAGTATAAGCAGGCTGCCTCTGCCTGCCTCCTTTAGTGTTGCTGATGTCCAGAGCTGTGTCATACCTATTATTGAGTACATAATGGTTGCTTGAGTTGACTAACACATAATTGAGGCTGTATATACAAAACCATTGCCTTTTCATATGTTTTGGTTTCCCTGGATGTCAAAGGTGATTAATGAAAACTTTTTTCCAGTCAACTTAGCTCTAGTAGGCTTAAAGTAGATGGAATTCTGAATAAATATATAAATGAATTTCTACTTACAGAAACTACTGTTACTTAAACTATCCAAAGTAATTACTCAGTTGATCTCAGTGATATCTTCTGTAGTATCTGGTTATCTTCTTTGAGGAGATAGCGTAGATGTATTTTCATAGTGCTGCTAGATAGTAGCAAAGAATTAAGGAAATTTCAGTCTGCATATGAGACTGAAAGCCAGTGATATTCTTAAAACTTTTTTAATTATAGCTTCCATTTTGTTAACTTTTCTCGATTAAAAAGCTCCCCACTTTTGTCAGTCATCCCAGAACTTCTATAAGACTTATATATGCTCCTATTCTTTGTAGCTTAATTTATCTCCATTTTGTGTATACTTTGTTGGATGTGTTTATGGCACATTCATGTGTCTTTGCCTAATATCACCATAAGATTCTACCATGTCATAGATTTGGTGATTAGATTTTTATCTGTGTGTTTATGTGGTTGTATTGTTTTTGTCAGTCTGAATCATGCAGAGTAGAAATGTTATACTTTATTTTTCTACTAATATACAAAAAAATTACATTTGTTATATTACTACCATATTCATGCTTATACTTAAGGAAAAGAAAGGGCAATAAAGAGATATATGAAATGGGATATGGTAATGAAATACTATTCTACTTCATCATGTTAGTTAATATATAACTAATGGCCCAGCATCCTATCATGGTAACTGTTACTTACAAACCTGGGATGATTGGTTACCATTTAGCACATCTAAATAGTGATGATCTTTTCCCTATGTAATATATTCCTCAACCTGCTATATTACCAGCCTTTATAGATTTAACTCATGGTAAAAGATTTTAAATAATTTGATAGAATATATCAGTTTTTAAAATTTATTTGCCTCTTTGTCATTGGAACTTTATTTAGGTTTTCTAGATAACCAGAGTCATTGTTTTGCTGGGCATTGTTCAACTATGGTTCAAACTGATCACATCTGTTACAATCAATCCCTCAAAAATATTATTGCTGGACACTCTGGGATTTTTTTTTTTAAGGCCTTGGAATTTTAGACAATCTGTTCTTATTAGATGCCTTTCTTAGTCTTTCTTAATCTCTGATCAGCATTAAGCAACCATTTTTCTTAAAATGAATAGATCTTCAGACAGAAGATATGAAATTACATAGTAAAGTAAATGGTCCTTAATATTACAGTGTTGGCTATTAACTTCAGATATAATCTAAAGCAACCTCTAATTAACATTAACACTGAGGTTTGGTTTTTGTTTTTTTTTAAATTTTATTCACTCTCTTTAAACTTGGTCATACCTTAAGCTCTATTTTTTTGTTACTGTCACTTTCTACAGTGATGTTCCTTAAAGACCTAAGGCGATGGCTTCAGACAGGATAAGTAATCTTTTAAATTATAATTGCTTAGTATAATATTTCAGAACAAGCTGTGATGTCGAATTATCTAATTTGTAATCCCAGTCCTACCACTTACTATATGACCGTATGCAGACTATTTAATCTCTTTGTCCCTCATTTTTAAATTTTTTTAAGTAGGCTCCACACCCAACCTAATTATTTAATCGTAATTATCATGATGTGATATTGTAGTAACATAAGTTTCTTATTTCTACTTTTTAGTTTAGTCTAATATGCTTAAGAATTCTTTTATGCAGGGGCACCTGGGTGGCTCAGTTGTTTAGCGTCTGCCTTTGGCTCAGGTCATGATCCCAGGGTCCTGGGATTGAGCCCCGCATTGGGCTCCCTGCTCCTCGGGAAGCCTGGTTCTCCCTCTCCCACTCCCCCTGCTTGTGTTCCTCTCTTGCTGTGTCTCTCTCTGTCAAATAAATAAAATCTTAAAAAAAAAAGAATTCTTTTATGCAGAGAACCAACCCCAGCCCATTATCTTTAAGGATACTCTAAGCTTTCAAAGTCAAGTAACATTTATTGATTTCCTATAACTTACCCAAGTATTTTTCATATCGATTACTTTGTTTGACCTTTACAACAATTATGTGAACTAAGCATTATAATCCCCATTTTATAGATAAAGAACAAATGCATTAAAGTTAGGGGACATATGCAAATCCACATAGCCAATGGTGAGCTGGAATTCAAACCCAATTCTCTTGACTCAAGATTCTTTCCTCCATACCATAGCAACTTTCCTCTGATAGGTTCTTCCAAACGCCTGTTCTTTTTGAAAGGACTTCTAATACTAAGTTCATTTACAGACTGACAAACCAGTCAAGAAGTACTAAGTCAGTAATGGGAAATGTGTAATCACTGGCAGATATTTAAAGCACATGGAAAGCCCAGGCACTTCCTTCCTGGACTGTAAAATCTGCTTGGCATCCTAAGTCATAGAAATATAAATAGTTCAGTACCCATATAAAGAAGTGTGACTAAGAACCAAAAGGATGCAGCTAACAAACACCATAACAAGCACTCATTCATCTAATGAATGAGACAGTCACATAGTTCCTTCCTTCATTTCACTCAGGTCTCTGTTCTAACGACATCCCTGAGGGAAGACTTCCTTGACCACCCTACCTAAGTTAGCATGCTTGTTACTCTTTATCACCTTATTTTGCTTTATTTTTCTTCAGACCACTTCATTACCCTAGCTCTACACCCAAGAGTATATTAAATATTGTTTAATTAATTATAGGTTGTCTCCACTATTAAAATATTAGCTTCTTGGTGATTTGTAGGTAGATTGCTAACAAATATTTGGGAAAATTCAAATATAATTTTAGAAACTACATAAAATTTCCAGCCTGAAAACTAATAATGTAATAGAAAAATTATTATACGCCAGGCACCATGTTATGCAGTTTACTTGCAATGGTAATAACCTCATTTTATTTTCAAAACAACATTCTGAGATAGATAAGGAAACTGAGGTTAAATAACTTTCCCAAAAACACAGTTTGGTTTTTAGGATTCTTAACACTATATAATATTGACTGGATTGTGACTGGACTGCCTAGTAAGTGAGATCATTGTCTGAAATAATGAGAAAGAGATAATCTGCAAAGAATACATGAAAAAGTCATATAAGTACTATGTTGGGCAGCTCCCAAAATGATTTACCTGAATTTACCTTTTAAAACTGAAATTAAGAAAAATGTAAACATATGAGATGAGATCAATAGTATTTAGAAATAACCTGCAAGATTGTAAACACCCAAAATTCAGAGATTTAAGTGGAACTCCCGGGGAGGCATGACTGAATTTTCATTGCCACATATGTGAATAAATGTGTACATTGAATTTGTCTAAAGACAGAAATGTATTAAAGGGTGGCACATGGCCTGCTTGCTATCTATAAAGGAGAAATCTAGAATGACAGTATTTGATGATCTGTCTCTAGCATTGCTTTGCCAACAAGGTGCTCTGGTGCAGAAATATGAATCTTAGGTCCATTGTTCCTCATTGGAGATGGTTTCTTGAGGACACCAACCATACAACTGATTCACCTTGCTTTGATTCCAGGTTCACAATCATGGTAAACATATCTTCCCATGTTGATTTGTGCAAGTGTCGAGCTGATATGGAAACATTAATATCCAGGTCCATAATAGTTATATTGCTCAGAGTCCATTTTTTTTAAGTAAGCTCTGTATCCAATATGGGACTTGAACTCATGACCTCAAGATCAAGAATCACATACTCTACCAACTGAGCCAGGCAGGCACCCCAGAGTCCCCCCCCCCTTTTTTTAAACAGTACTAAGTTTTATAATTACGGTCTCTGAGCTTGGAAAACACCTACCCCTGCAGACTGGATTTTCTCTGTGTCCTCAGATTGTAATGATTCTGTGAAGAAATGTCAATCTGTAGGAATTGTCTGGATGGCTAATCAGCCTTCTTTAGGACTTGCCACGTGCCTTTTTTTTTTTAAGATTTTATTTATTCATTTGAGACAGAGAGAGAGAGAGAGAGAGAGAGCATGAGCAGGGGAGAGGCAGAGGGAGAGGGAGAAGCAGGCTCCCAGCCAAGCCAGGAGCCAGATGTGGGGCTCGATCCCAGGACCCTGGGATCATGACCTGAGCCAAAGACAGACGCTTAACCATCTGAGCCACCCAGGCGCCCCTTGCCATGTGCCTTTCTATTCCAACTGCATCTTTAG